TTAGGAATTAAATTAATATCAACTGGTTGGGATAACAATTGAATTCTCGAGCTGTAATGCAGTGAAGTTGAATACTCATCCAATCTCTGGGGATTCAGATCTCCTGCGGGCACAAAGAAACAGTTGCAGGCTTGTTGCTGTCCAATCCGCGCTCTCTGGCTCCGTGCCAGGCTGTGCTTTGGGCTTGAGAGAAGTTCCTGCGATGTGCTGCTCTCTGAAGACTCGCTAGTTAGTGTTGGCTTTAACTAGCAAAGTTGTGCACAGGAGAAAAGTTACTGTGGGACCCCCCTCTGGGGGTCCTGGCCCAATGGATGCCCCCCCTCTGGGCAGCTAGACATTTTTGGATAGCTCCAGACTCAGGCTGTAGTACTATAGCCCGTGGAATTTACGTGCGTAGATATTATGTGAAGTGAGAGCAGTACTGGATCCAAGACGTAGCAGTGCAGAGTGGGAGAGATGATCCCGGTGCTGAATTGGACATCTGGGATAGGGACTTGAGTCAAGGGGCAATTGTTGAGTATTCAGAGGTAGTAAGGTGGGCGAACTTGGGGCCGAGAGGTGGCGGCGGCGGCAGCAGCGGAGCATGAGAGGAAGAGAAATGGACCTGGGGACGGATCGGACGCCGGGGATAAAAATATGAATAAGACAGGGGAATGAGGCGAGGGACTTACCTGTACGGATGTGGCTTTAGTAGCAACGGAGGACGGGAGGGATGAGACTGCAGCTGAATTGGAGAAGAGGGAAAAGGGCCGATGAGACAGGGACATGAGGCATAGGGCGATTGCTGACAAGAGAAATGAACTTGGAGCACGAACTGGAAACCGGGGATGGGGAAGCGAATGAAGCAGGGGCAGATTGGACATGGGGGGGTAAAGGATACGGATGAAATGGGGACATGAGATGAAGAGCTTTCCTGTCGATGAGGTGGTACCGGTAGCAGAAAGGGCGAGGAACAAAAAAGCACGAAGTTGAGACAGACGTGCAAGACATAGGACTTTCCAATATTAACATTAAAGAGGCAGTGCCGGTAGTGGCAGAGCTGAATAGGACAGGGATAGAAACAGAAACGAGATGGGAAGGCGAGACACGTGACAGCTACTGACTGGGCCAGAGGTAGAACGCCGGACAGACCCGGGCCGAGGTAGAAGTAGAGACAAGAGAATAGATCCGAGGATAAATTGAACGCCGGGGACAGGGAAAATGAGACACGGGTTTTGAAAATGCACGCTTCCAGAATGAAAACCCA